ATGAGGCTTTTATTCGACATATTTTCTGAGAATTTTATCTGATCAATTTAATGACACTAGCATTGTTTTCGTATAGGAATTTTCCTAATTATATGAGCTTTTAATTTAATAATTTTGATACTCTATAAACTTCTCATTTGATAGCTTCACTTTTTTATACACCGATTGAGAAACAAATTCGCTCTCGTTAAATCCTATTTTATGACCTGTTTATTAGAACTCTAGGTAACATACGAAATGATGTAACCGGACAGGCTTTAACCTTTGGTCCTAATTTATTTTTTCTTCGCAACCCCTAATCAGTTGACGGGCCGTGAGAGAATATCGCCACAAAAAGACGCGAAAAAGTTTTCCCTGAGTTTCCTTTACATATTCCGGCTTTATATGGGTCTACACCTTACCTGCTTAAAAAGGAAACTGTTGTTCAATTAAGTGTCAGTCAAATTCGGTATAATCTTGGCTTGCAAATCCACATGCAAAGGTTTATTTCGCAGTAGAAAAGCGTGTAAACATCATCGAACAACGCATTGTAAATTGGCTAATGTGAAACCACGTTTCTTTCACTTTATTTACCATGCATTTATCTCAATTGCACACTCTTGTGAAATCAGCCTCAGACAATTAGTTGCGAACTTTAACAGACTCAACAAGCCAGTATGAAAATATGTTAAGAGAAGCTGAGCTCTACATGTTCTATTTCTTTTTTTCATATTGCCCTTGCATGTGTTAACATTCCATTTCTTTTTTGTTACAGGTAACTTCCAGACATGACGAGGAGATAATTACTTTTCTAGAGAGCAATTCTTTGATACTGTCAGTTATTACTGACTTTGAGTTAAAAACAAAGAACATAGACACTGGTAATGACACAAAAACATTAATCCCTGGCAAGCCTACAAAACAAGAAAGAGGAACTCAGACTCCTTATCAAAATGTGAAACAAGATAAAAACAGCTTTTCTAACGTAGGGAAAATTGCGTTAGAGAGATTTGTAATTGCAACATTATATTCAAGCACATTGCATTGTCAAACATCATAATTTACTGAATAATGAACAGTGATTTTGGGGCTTAGCTCAGTTTGTAATGAACTTTGAAAGATATTCTATAACCTTGTATTTTTAAAAGCTTTCATGGAACATAGATGCATTTTATTATACAATGAAAATAGTCTCTGTCTCTCTTTTTACTGATTTCAGTCAATTCCATTTTATTCGCAATGTGAAATGGGAATCCTATTAAAGACTCATTAAAAGGAGTGAGGAGTTTTTATAATCCCCCAACAGGTCATCTCCACGATGACGCTGTTTTATTACTACGGCAGAATCCCTCAGGGTTTTACTTTCTTGTGAAAATTAGAGCTTTTGTTATTTAAACTTCGCTGGGACGACCAAATCTATGAAAATGAAAGGAATAGCAATGACGTCATCGTGTAACCGTATATGAAAAGATAAGCACTGTGATCTGTTTAGTTTTTTTTCTTTTAGCCAAGCTTAAAATATCTGTAGATTCAAAGAATTATAACCTGGGCGTTGAGAGCATGCCAGAGACCGATTTTGGCATGCCCGGCATGACCCAGATCATGGCACGCCCGGCATACCAGAGAATTTGGCATGCCGGGCATGTCAGAAAATTTGGCATGCCCGGCATGCCGGAGATTTTGCTGGGTATGAATTACTTAATACTAGAACCTAGGCTTCTCGCGGCCTGGGTGAGAAGGTCACAGAACCTCAAATTATGCTTACAAGGCATGCGAAATTCTGTTGCATGCCAATTTCAATGCAAAACCACTCTGGGGCCACCCCCTCTATTACCAATGAGCAAATCATTGACGATAGGCATGAGAAAAATCCTTGCATGCTAACCAACATTGAAAACGTAGCAGAAATGTCCTCAATTGCTGAGTCATGCCCTAGGCGAGGCTTTAAAATACAGAATTTCCTGACATGGATGAGGGAATTTTCCGTAAACAGCATGTGATCATGCCGGCTAGGACGTATTGCCTCCGTATTGCCCCTTTTTACAGCTAGCTAGGCTCATTTTTAGGTTCCATGGCCTGAAATGAAGAAAAATTCATGCCCTAAATGTAAAAAGTCCACAAACGTCCTCGAAATTTTAGTTTCCAAGCCGTTCTACTGCCCTTTTGATCCTCTCTGATTGCTATATTGATCTTGGGGTAAGAGATACCGTAAAATTCCGAAAATAAGCCCCTCCATGTATAAGCCCCTTCAAATATAAGCCCCCCAAACCGTAACGCAAAAAACCCTCCGTTAAATCGCCCCTCCAAATATAAGCCCCCCAGGGGCTTGTACTTGGAAAACTGCCCTCAAATACAACGTAAAACAAAGCAAAAACGGTAAATTTACTTCCAACTATAAGGCTAGCCCTTTCAAGTTTGAAACGCAAAGTTCCCTCCGTAGTTAAGCCCCTCTGAATATAAGCCCCTCCAAAAATAAGCCCCTCAAAAAGGGCCTTTGAAAAATATAAGCCCCGAGGCTTATTTTCGGAATTTTACGGTATGTGGCGGTTATTAGAGGTTTAACTATATACTCCCTTCTGACTAGGCAAGTTTGTCTACGGAGTCTTCCCTGTTCGAGGCGTTAAGAAAGTGGAGCATCCCTTAAAAGGTAGGAGCCAATTCCTTTAAATTGCAGTTTTTAAATCTGTAAAATAATTAATTAATAGAGGGTGTCCGCTTAACACGGGAATACAGGTTTCACTGTTTCAGCAACGTTTTGTTGGGAGCGTTCCACCTCGGGGTCCACACCTTGCGTTACACTACCATATATATAAAAAAATGCATCTGGCCCAAATTATTTCAAGTAAATTTTTGTCTTTCCTCTCTTGTTGTTAATGTTTTATTTCAAGTTTTTAGTGTAACATCGAAGCAACTTTAACTCTGTTTTCTCTTGAAAAACCATTTTGAAAACAAAGGGTCTTCGGTTTGAAGTTTCGGTCGTATCTACAATTGTAAAAGCGCTGGCCTGTCAGCGTTCTCAATGAGCCATCAAGAACTGCACAGAAGGTAGCCATTTCAAGAGTCAGTTGACAAACTGTACCAGAAAACTAAGACTAGGGCAAGGCGGCATTCTTAGTTACTCCTGGCTTGATTAGCGGTAAGTTGGTTACAGTCGCACTGAAAGTGTTGTTATTTGTAGCAGGCGAAGAGTCATCTTTCTAGTTTATGTTTGATATGTTGTAGCTAATTTTTTATCTTAGGTAGTTTTGTTTTTTATTTGTTTTTGGGTATGGTAATGTATGCTAACGAAGACGAAACAAAGGAAAAATGAAAATTACCTGAGATAAAAAATGAACTACAACATATACGCTGTGAAAAAACCATTAATATAATTATCATCAATTCAACCGTCATCATCATCATTATTATTAGTATTATTGCTATGATTATATATGCAGCTATAAGTAGTGAGTAATGAAAAACATAACATGACCCTTAAACGTTATATAAATGTCCTACACACGTGAAACTATCAATGCCTGCGATGTTGAATTGATTGATTGGCGAATATAATACCCATGGTTAGAACTTGGAAAGTTTTGACAATAGCCATAAGGCCTATAAAGGTTTGTTTGCTTTCTGTGATCTGTCATGGAATCAACATATTGCTTCAATAACAGAAAGGGCTAGAAAAAGTATTAGGATTAGTAAAAAGATCCTAGAGGATTTCAAGGACGTTTGATATCATGAAAACATTGTTCAATGGTCTTGTTAGGCCATTGTTAGAATATGCATGCGAACTTTAGTATCCTTACACTCAACGGAGTAATGACAGGTTGGAAGCTGCCCCGAACAACGAAGAGAATCTCTAAGTCTGATGATGTACGTTCATATGAAACTAGGAATTTTTTGTCTTTATCTTACAGTTTAGGAGTTTTACCAAACGGAGACATTTCTAAAAAGCTTGTACTTTGCAACGAAAGAAAGATTTGGTATTTCAGAAATTACAGAAAGAATGAATCTCACAATTTGCTTAGATTGATTAAAATATAGCGTTTTATTTGTATATAAATTACTGAAAAGAATAGGTACCTTACCATGTCAGAGAGAATAATGGTATCTCTCCTTTTAAAAAATAATTTCTACATCTGGCCGATTTTTTGAAAACCAGCCTAGCGAAATTTGCAGTCGTTTGAGTGAAAAGGCGTCAAAAGGAAGTTTTGGGGCGCCTGATAAGGCCCAAAATCCCACTAACGAAGGGAAAGGAAAGGAGACAAATTAAAAAAAAGAGGTGGAAAAAAGCAATGGTTGCACTCTTAGTTTTTTATGATGGCTACTTTGGATAGTTTTGGCCCAAAAAAACCTTTTGTAAAGAAAAGGTCCATTTGGCGGTAAAGTTTTCAAAACTCCGGATAGATATGCATATAGAAAAATATTTATTTACTTATCCTAGTTCCTCAGTTTAGTAGTTGGCTCTTTGCCGCTTTTGGTGTTCTACAATTTCGTAGTTAGTTGATATTTTGTTTATACGGAGATTAAAAGGGTAATATTGGGTGCCGTAGAAAGACCAATGTGCGACGTTGTGTTAGCTTTGGAATGCTCTATGTGTGCTCAAGAAGTAACGTCTAAATTACTTTTAAAAAAGCTGTTTTGTAGCTATCTATGTACTTACAGTGTTTTTATTCTCGTCATTGTCGTTTTGTTCAATACTGCTCAAAAATATTCGATTTATTAGGCATTGCTTATTTCAATTAAAGTGGTTAATTGAAATTCAGGCACCTGTCCACAAATTTTTTAGAAGATCTGCGGAAACTAAGGGAACACATGTTAATGAGAGAGAGAGGTTGATAATGCATCGGCCGCGAACTGATGTTATTCATTGACAAAGTGCATAGCTGACTTTCTCTTGAAGCTGACTGAAGCAGAAGATGTAGAAGAGAAAGAGATAATTTTTTCAGTCAAAAGCGCTGTAGAAGAACAAAAGTGCACAAAGGGTGAAAATAGTGCAACATGCACAAGGTGAAGAGGAAGGGTATATAGAGATGGAAGACCAAAGCGGTCAGGAAAACAAAGAAGAAGCCCTCCACGACAAGATAGGTAACTAGCAATCTCTTCTTAGAATTTTTTAGAGAGAAAAATTGTGAAAAAAGAAGAAGAAGAACACAGATTCCTAAGGGTCGTGAAGGGCAGAAAAATGCGCATTTGACCTTAAATCCCCCTCCTCCGTAAACGTCGTATAGCATATTTTCTCAATTAAAAAAAGACAATAATTATAATGTCGGATGTAAGTTGCTAAAAATCAAATAAATTAGAAATCATTTTGCCTGAAAGGGTTGTTTTGCTATCAATTGTGTCGAAAAATATAGCTACAAATGTCCTTTTCAAATAACTGCGTAAGCAATTCACAAAAGGCTTTAAATTTTAGGCAGAAATTTTATTTATCATTTCTTAAGGTCGTTTCACGTTACGGATTGGCAATCTAGTTATATGCGACCCTGCATGCATCTTTCTTTAATGCACCTTTCCGCTGTTTTGAACAGGTTATCATTTTCGGGTGGAGCCTCCCCGTATAATAAGCCATTATAGTCCCGCGATTAGTTTCCCCTGGGTCTCCGAGGAACATAAAATTTAAATTTAGAGGCAAAACGTACAGATGACAAAAATTTGGTCTTATCAACTGAGTTGACGTAGACGATTTGTTTTTCCCATGCAAATGCACTACTAGTACTGATTTTGTGCTAAAAGTAAAAGCTAAACACCAACTACGTTTCGAGCTCTCCAAGGATATTTTCGTGTACGTGAGCGTAAAAACACAAAATTATCATAAATATATTACAAACAGTTAAAAATAGTTAAAAGCAGATAATAATGGCATGAAAGCTAACTTGTAATAAAGTATGCCAATGATAAGTAGTAAACATGTTTAAAAAAATGCAGAACAAATTTGGCTGAACAGCCTATTTTGAAATGCTTTTAAACAAAGAACTGATTAAAAACAAACAGTAATTCAATTAGCCTTATTATTGCTTCATCGCTTTATGTCTTTTTCAAACGTCAAAAATATTTTATCATCCATGACATTCCTGTCTGTTTTTAAGTATTCTCAATTGCTTGTAGTATTATGCTAAATCACATCTGAAAACACAGTGCTGTGATGACTAACGTTGTGAACTTACGCATTTTCCCATCGAATTGGCGTTTCGTAGAGGCAAGCACTGAGCGTAACAAGACGCTTTTAAAGCGTCAACACGAGCTTCCTTGGAGATAAGATTTAAAAATGAGGAGGCAATTAATTGATTTGGATTAATAAGGGGCTGAGTGCGGGCATGGAGGGCATGTGGGAAAGAACAAAAAATCTGTCATTCCACATACAGGAGTGCTCGGTGACTCGACCATTTTATTTTTAAAGTGATGTCTGTGGAGTCTTCCAAAAGCTTCCAAAGGTAGATTTTATATGATGGTCACCATCAATTGTATTGTTAAGTTCAGTTCTATTTTTGAAAGATTGCATCTAAAGAAATTGAGTTCAGTCAAGTGACTAGCAAGCGAAATGATTGAGTAATAGATAAAACAAATAGCTGTTGCAGTGCAGTTGCTTTTGAAATTGTTGATCTGATGATTCATCATTCAAATATTTTACGTTGGTGCTTGTTGTCATGTCTTATTTTGTAATTTTGAAACCTTTAATTAAGTTCATAGATTCAATAGTTATTTCAAAGCTGTAGAAGTATTGCAATAACTCGTCGTGAGGTGATACAGTGGAACCTCCGTATAACGAACCTTTATATAACGTTGTTCTCGGTATAACGAACGATTTTCTTTACCCCAGTGGTAATAAAACAGATGAAAAAGGAACCTCGATAAAACGAAACCTCTTTGTAGTGAACAAATTAAGGTTCCACTGTATAACTACAGAGGGTGACTCTTACCATAAATCTATCTTTGGCCGTGAAAACAAATGATCTGTATTGCCCCTTTTTTGTTTGTATAATTTTGATTTGATTTAATTCATTTTTTTTTCTCACTAGAATTTGAAAAATCGTTGAGAAAAACTTTGAGGGAGGGTGATGTTGAGGATATCACTGACGAGCTCACGCCGCGGGCTCTAACAAAATGCCACACCAATTCGTTACTTATGGCAATGGAGGTGGGAAATATTCATGAATACAATATTACGCTATCGTCTTCTAAAAGGATGCTTAAAGGCAACTGTGACTCTACTCTCAGTTTTTTAGCATGTAGCACTTGTTATTGGAGTAGCGTATTCGTTCACCGCTCTGTACACTCCCTAATGAAACAAGAGCAAGAGCGATCTGCCTGAGGGACCTTCCTCCTTCTTGTCATCTCCTTTATAACACTACCGTGCTAGTCTTTCTGGACTCTCAATCTCTAATACAAAAAAATGAGAGACGAAGAGTGATGACAAATTTTGATGAGCTTGGGCAGAAAACCAGTATTGCCAACGAGGAAGGATCAAGCATCAGCAACAATATGGGGTAGACGTGTTTGAATGTCCGACATCAATCCATACAGTATTACAAAACATAAGAATAAGAAATGGAACAAGCGATAGACATTTGATGCTGATTAGATATGATTTGTTTTTCTTAATTTTAAGCACGATAAGATAATTCTCTGAGTTAGATGCTATCCCATTTGCATGGTTATCAATCGAGTGCTATATGTCCCCAGTACCCAAATATACACTTGGTGGACGAAGACAGTGTTTCCAGCATAATTACTAACTTGCCAGTATCTGAACGTTCTGAGCCTGGCCAAAAAATATTACTTAGTATTTAAGTGGATAAAATTTATATTTCCTGCGTGCTTTACTTTTCAGGTGAGAAAGCAATTTCCCTGTCATCATAATAACCCGAAAGATGGTATATTCCCTATCACCCTCCTTGTTCTGAAATCTGTTTTGTTAACACAGGTGAGTTTCAAACTCCGTCGTTTAGCGGAGAAAAAAGGACCTGATGAGGACGATTTTACCAAGTTAGCGAACTTAGTGGACGAGTTTACCAGTTGTTTACTTGACCCTTTGAAAACCAACATAGAGGCGCGTCACGCGTTTGGGGATTCTTTGGATTATCTTGTTGATGCTGGCATAAACCTAGAACAAAAGAAGGTGATTTAGTCTCTGTTTAGTGCCTTGTAGCGTTACGCAGAGGATACAGTACGACTTACAGAATGGATGACAATAGTAATGTAAAAATAATTATCTAATAGCCAAATGGATGAATGATTATAATAATAATAATCCTAAGAGTTGCAAAATCCATGGAAAAATGAAAACTTTGTATAATGTCGCAGATAAAAGTCGCACTAATCTAACTTTGGAGGTATCACGGTTGCAAAAACTCCTTTAGCTGCATGGACACCGTTGGATTAACCTGCTTAACAAACCTAGTTGACTAGATAACACTATTTATGATTTATCTTTTGTTTTCCTTACGTTGCTTTTATAAACGGTCAGGTAATAATGTCAATAACATATTCACACCGACCAAGTTTAAAGATTGTTTAGTCTGGTATAACTAACTCTTGCTAAGCCTGGACAGGCACAATACTTGCATTAATACTAGAACATTGAATACATGCACATCACATTAATTGTCGTTAAAAACGGTTTGTTGTTGCTTTTTGTTTGACTGTTGGTAGTTCTTCGCACATCCAGTGATGTACGACTTGATGAAGAAAAAATGGTGGGGTGCATTTGCTGAGATGAAGAGATCATCCTGGCGTGAACGTTGGGCATGGCTTTTGCTTCATTTTTGGGGCTTGTTTGATATCGTCTTGTTTCCAGTCTTAATCGCTTTGTTCTATATCAAACACCTTATTAGCATAGCTACACGGCAAAGTAAAGGTTTGTTGGATTACATAGCAATTCATAATAAGTAAAGTAACTAGTCGAACGTCTTTAAAGCAGGCTTGGTTCTTAGATAAGCTGAGGAAGGGTAAGGCAACAAGTTCAATTGCATGGCTTTGAATACAACGAAAAACAACGGAGGGGTAAGTTACAACGTAAACAAACAACATTTCTTTACCCCTACACATTCTGATCTCAGTAAATTTGTTTCGTTGTGTTTGTTTGTTTTTTCTCTTTCTGAAGAAATAGACATCGCCTTTGTCATGAACGCAACCTCTGACTCCGCGAACGAAGCATTTCAGCTGATGAAAAAGATCGCAAAGTATGTAATGGAAGAGAAAAACAACCATCAGATGAAATACCAGGTGGTAGTGCATGGTGAAGACTCGTCATCAACGGGTATTTGCTTCGATGATGACCCAGTTCCAGACGTTAGGACTCTTTCAGATAGAGTGGATCGCTTAATGAGGAATGTGGAAGTTAACATTCCTGCTCTTCATGAAGATCTGGAGAAAGTATGTGAAGCTTTCGAACAAGGTAATCAGAGGCCAAACACTGAAAAGGTGGGTACTAACTCTGTCAAAGCGTTTGATATATTTCTTTTCCTACTAATTATAGAGTATAATATCCAGTACAAGGTGAATAAAAGTGACAGCCTGGATATTCAACTCATCAGCAAAACGGTTACTCGGATAGGGAGAATTAATAATTTTCATATACACTTCATCTTAGTTTAGAGCACGCGTTTGTTATGAATAGGCAAATCTTTTTGAAGTCAAAGATTTCGTTTAGTTCATGAGTCCACAATTTACTGAGAGAAAACATCCTGACGATATTTATTCCGTAATGCGTTGCACAATCTTTGTTGCCTTTTGCATGGAACGTTGAAGGAAATAGTAGTGATTACTTACAGAATTTTGTAATTGTGGTATGACCTTGCAATATTCAGGGTTCATATTTTATTGCTTGATTATAGAATGAAGAGCATATGCTTATGAAACAAGTTTGTAAAGAAAGACTTGAGTATTCTAACACTACATATTTCCCTGGAACCTAAACCTTTAAGTAATCTTGATTGTTTCCCTCCTGGCAACAGTGAGGCATGCAGTGAAGGGTTTTTTAATGAATTTTCTTTATATGTCCACACTATATCAAATAGCTGTACATGCCGACATGAAAAACTATCCGGTATAGTTAGGTATGCCAAGACCTATTTTTAGCTGTTCAACACTCTGCCAAAGATGATCGAGATGTGACGCTCTACTTTCAAAATCGGCGTGGCGCAGTTTCGCTCCGTTACAAATTCCAATGCGTGTACTGAAGCCCTATGGATTTCGTGCCGTAGCAAGAGCTATCCGTTTGTTTGATTCATTTCTTACAGGTTCTGGTGCTACTTACCGACCACAAAATTTGTTCAAGGCAAGACAGGAAGCGCGTTAAGGAAGAAATAAAGAAAGTAAAAGAAATGGGAATAAAAACTGTGCCAGTGGGAATCGGCCCGCACATTAACATCCGGGAATTAGAAAGGATCGACAGGGAAGGAAGCAAGGTCATGCACTTTGGAGAATATGCAAATCCAAGGGAAGCAGGAAAGAAAATTTGGCATGGTATGTTTCGCATGCTTCAACTTGAAAACGTTCTTAGTATTCTGTAGTACTGAAACCACAAACCTTAAAAAATCTTTAAAAGCGTATAATATATTTTCCATTAAATGTGTAGTATTGTACCGACTCCTGAGATCTCTGACAACAAGTTAGAGCAAATAAAGGACAGCATTACGTATTTTTCCTTTGTTCCAACGCTTAAAATGAGTTTAAGTCAAATCTTTTTTCAACCGCAGCAGGATTAGCTCAGTCGGCAGAGCGCTTGGCTGCAGAGCGGAAGGTCGCGGGTTCGATTCCCTGGGCCGTATTTATACTCAGGGCCCTAAAATAACTGAGAAATGAAGGTACCGTATTTATTCGATTAACCGCCGTGGGCGCTTATTAAATTTTTGGACCTTGAGGGTGGGCGCTTATTCGAGGTGGGCGCTTATTCGAGGCTGGGCGCTTATTAAATTTTTACCAATCTCAGCAAGTGTAGTGGTATATTTTGCAACAAAACAATAAATGCTAATAACAAATAGCGAAGATCTAACAAAGCAAGGTTTCTGTACAATACCCTGAAGAAAACACCGTCTTCGGGAGGGTCTCTTGTTATCTCTCATTGGAGTTTTTGTGGGAGGGAGTGGGGTGGGGTGGGCGCTTATTAACTTTTTCTGCCTTTAGGATAGGCGCTTATTCGAGGTGCGCGCTAATTCGAGGTTGGGCGCTTATTCGAATAAATACGGTAATCCCTTTGCACTGCAAGCAGCAAGGCCTTCACGTGGCTCAGATGACCACGTAAAATGGCGGTCCCGTCTCCAATAGGAGACGTAAAAATAGTGTCACCAATTAGTGCTTTCGTGTGAAATACTTTGACACTCAAATAAAATGTGTTTTTTTTTTCTTCTGACGACATATTCAACGGTTTAAAATCTTTGTGTTTAGTATTTCGCTCTCTCCTGATCAATTTACAAGTTTTACATTCACCGTGTCTACTGTATAGAAGAGACTGTGGTTACAAACTAAAGACAGGTCTTCTCCGTTCAAATGAGTATGCACTGAATTTTTTGTTACTGTTTTGACAGAGCTACAAGGAAAAGATTTGTTTGGTAAGTTCTTTAAGCCTGGAATTTGTCCTTGTGGTCCTCTGTTGTTATAATTTTGGCATCTCAAAAATTGGTGTGATGTTTAAGGCCTTAAAACTCTCGTAAACTGTTTAGGTTCAGATGAAATATCCATTTTTTTCATTAAGGTGGGGCACCTCACGCGTTCTTAAACACTTTGTCTTTTTGGACTACCAGTTTCCCTAACATTATGGTCTTTCACGCATCGATCACAACCCCGACTTATAGTGATAATGTGACAAAGTCTTCTTGACATCTGAGAACATCTCGTAACCATGTCGAGAGGGATGCGTTCTGCGGGGCAAATCATCGATTCAGCAAATAATGTTGATAAAATGGTGTAACCGAGGTTCACATTTGCTTTGCTTTCAGGAAATTCAAATAAAAGAGGGGTTGATGTAGAATTACCTCAGGCTTTACAGGGTTTCCTTGATGGATACAGAGAGGAATTCAAGAAAAAAATAAACCGGTTTCCCCAAATATATTAATAACATTCTAAAAAAATATATTGCGAAAATTCTGTATATTTTCAGTTCTAAGAAGGTGATATATTTCACCTAAAAATAATTTTCAGCAAAACATCATTAATATTAATGATAAATCTCAATCTCAGTTAAACAGGGTCGTTAGAGGCCGCAGTTGAACCTAAGCTAAAGAAACCTGGTCCTGTAACATTGAAAGAAAACCATCGGGTCATAAGCAGCCGCCAGAGTACCTATGTCTAAGCTCAAAAAATAACTTCTCTCATGATGGTATACGAGATTTTTCTCTGAGCTGTAATCAGCCTATCGGCGGTTCTGGCACTGAAATAGCGTTATTTCTTACTTTTTTTTGTAATGATAAGTTCCTTAACAAAAACAAACCAAACAGGTAACGTTATTGGTTTTCTTGAACTTACGGGCAATTTAACGGTACCGCTTCAGCGTCTCGAGGATAATTCCAATTTTTACGCAATCAAGTAAGTTCGAAAATGTAGTTTAGTGACATAGCCGTTAGTCCGGCAAGCAAGTAAACTAAGGTTCGAGTCCGGACAAAAGTCGACGAGTAGCTTTTTCATAATCATCGTCATCATCATCACAAGAAGCATCATCATCATCATCACCATCATCATCATCATCATTGTTACTATCTTTTGTTTTTTCTTTGCTTCTCTTTATTCCTGCCTTTGATCTCTTTCAGCCAGCAGCTTTACAAGA